GCAGGTGTGGGCTTTTGAAACCTCAAAGGCTGCTCTCAGTGTCACCCCCTACCCCTAGCAAGGACATACCTCCTAATCCTTCTCTAACAGTTCCACTAAACTGGGGAACCAAGCATTCAAACGTGAGCCTTTGGGGGCTACTCGCATTCAAGCCACCACATTCCCACAGCCCTGAGTTGTTGCAACAAGTGACCTAAAGATCAAATGCTCCCAACAGGGTGACTCAGCTCCTTAGAAGACATTCCATAAAGTCCAGGGGCTGTTTTCGATTATTACAACTGGGAAAGTCAGCTAATGGGCGAAGACAGGGGTGAAGACTGCCGTAGAACCCCGGACAGCACTGCCAATGACCCTGTCCACATTGCCAGGAATGCTGGGATGAAGTCTTGAACATTTAGCAATACACCGTGGCTTTTCTTGCTCAGGGGCCTCCATTTGGACACAGAAGGGGAAGCAGGAAGACGGTTGGGCTTCCTTATTGGCAAAGGACAGCCAGGTTGTGCCAGATGCTCTGCCTCACAAAGAGTCTGGTCTTGAGGAGGTGAGTACAGAGCAAGCAGATATTGTCCTCCAACATCCATCAGCTGTGATGGACAGATAGATTGTCGTCTGTTCATAGAAAGGGATTTTTTTTTTTTTGGGTCATCATCAGGAAGGGGAGTTGTTTGACATCTCCCTTTCCTATTTGCATCTGTGTGCACATAAATGGATTCCATTCTCTTACTTGCCTTATTAACTTATTAACTGGCTGAGAACGTGGAAAGAGGCCCTCTTGTCTTGCTCACTGGGGTGAATGCTCTTAGTTCTGCATTACTATAATGTTAATGAGAGCTTTGCTAGATGTAGACATTGTTCTGAAAGGGTCTCCTGCTATCTATCCCTAGTCTCTTTTGACTTTTATTGTGAAGGGATATTGAATTTTATCAGACCTTGTCAGCATCTGTTGAGAAGGTTGTGTAATTTTCATCTTGATTTTGTGTACACACTGGTTTTTCTTTTTGAAAAAAAAATAGTCCATTTTTATTTTTTAATTAATGTGTCTATGTACATTTGTGGGCGTGTGTATGTGAGTTCATATATAAAAAATATATTACACACAACTAGATCACACAGTTTAACAAGTTTGACTTTTATCTCAATAAAGCTGCAAGATGTGCACTGACCAGACAGCTTCCGGGTCAGGAGAAGCCACCAATGCCATGTGGTGGCTATTCTCGGTTGTCAACTTGACTTCATGGAGGATTAACTAAAACCCCAGTGTATGGGTACCCCTGTAAGGAACTTTTCCTAATTAAATCATTTGAAGTGGAAAGACTCACTTTTAATCTGGAGTTTTTGAGAAAGGAAGTTTCACCTTTAATCTGGGCCACACCTTCTGTTGGCAGTCTATATAAAGGACATGGAAGAAGGAATCTCTCTCTCTCTCCCCGTCAGTTCTGTTCCTCTAGAGAATCCTGACTAACAAACAGAGCTTTTGCTGCCGGTTACTTTGGTATGATGTCTCTGTATGAGCACTGCTTTCTGCCCACCCTGGGCATTCCCATCTGGAGAGCAGCATCCCAGCAGGGTGATAGCTGCCATTCCCAGCTCTGCCTTCTGAGGGGTCATCACAGTTTCTTCTCTTCCCAAGCCATGTGGAGCTGTGAGTGTCAAAGGGCTTCTCTGAGACGAGGGATCTAACTCATCATCAGGCTCGACAGTAAGTGTCCCAGTTGCTGAGCTGTCTCTCTGGCCCCTAATCAATTTTTTTGTTCTTGTTGTTTTTGATTGTGGTTTTGGTACCGGTGCTCCTGTATCCCAGGCTGGCTTTAAGCTTTTTATGTGGCTACGGACAGCCTTGAACTCTTGATTCTCTTGCTCCCGTCTCTCAAGTGCTAGAAATAAAAGTATGTACCAAGCCTGGTTTTTGTGGTATTGGGGATCAAGCCCAGGGCTAGACAAGATTCCACCAACTGAACCGCACTCCGAGACCCAAGGAATGTTTGGGAACTTAGTAAGATGTTTCTGGGAACAGTTCCAGCCCTTCCTTCTGCGTCAGCAGATATCTGTCGCCTTTTGGCTTTGCCCGAAGCGAGGGTGTGTGTGTGTGTGTGTGTGTGTGTGTGTGTGTGTGTGTGTGTGTGTGTGTGTAGAGAAGTCCTCTGGCGAGGGTGTGTGTGTGTGTGTGTGTGTGTGTGTGTGTGTGTGTGTGTGTGTGTGTGTGTGTAGAAGTCCTCTGGCCTCTTAATTCTGTCCCAAACCCTGAGAATCAGAAAAATGCTCCTCAGGGGAGGGTCCCACATGGGCATGGTCTCCTCTGTCTTTTCCCAGTCACCCAGAGCTGCTCTTTGAGGACCTCAACTCCTGTGCCTTGTGGCCTGGCTTCTTTTTGTTGTCTTCTGACAGATAGGAACATCTCAAAGGTGAAAGCTGCCGCCTTTGGGGTGGGACTCTCAGGTAGGAGGGGTAGGAGCTTAGTAGTGACTCCTGGAGTCAGCTCTGGAGCTTTGTGTCACCTGGTCCCTTCAGACATCAGCTTGTTCCTGGGAGAGTCAGTTTCTCAAAGTTTTGGGTCCCCAGGAGCTACTGGTGTCCACAGGACTGAATTCTTGACCACTGGTCCAGCCAGACAGCCTGCGCTCCTGGACCAGAGCCAGTCAGGGCTGAGGTCTGCTGCCTCCCTGGGCTTGGCACCCACCCCTGATATGCTTCTCTTTGGGGCTGGGGAGGAACCTCCAGCCTGGCAACTGGGTCATTTCCCAGGGCCCAAGGCTTCTTTGCAAGGTTGGCACAGCCTGTTATGCCCCTCAGGGGGTTGGCGCTTGTCACTCTCCTTCACTTGGACAAGCAAAGGGACAGAATTAGCTCTCCACTCTCACTCTTGAAGCTCTCCAGGCAGTCAAACCATTCCAGTGAGTGACCAGAGAAGCTTCCTGGGAATATGCCCAAGGCCTTTTCCCTGGTTCCTCTGGGAATTGATCCAAAAGAAAGAAAGAAAGACCAAAAGTGGGGTGCTGGTGTGTGTGTATGTGTTGTTGGGGGGATGAGGCTCCATCCTACCACCAAGAGAAACCATTTGCATTCTGGGAAACACAGAGATTCCCCTGTAACCAAGGTAGTGTTCATGCTTGGTGGATCCTGGGGAGGGCTGTCTGGGAGTGGCTGATCTCAGCATCCCACCAAATTTCCCTGGGATTCTTACTGCATTTCTGGTTTAAAGGCCAATGGAAACCCCAATGATCAAGGTGTCTCCTAAAGGGATACAGAAACACACCAGCTGTTCAGAGACTGTCAGGACAGTTGGGGCTCAACAATCTGGACTCACACATTGCCCTACCCTCTTCTCTCTGTCCACAAAGTTGGACGCCCAGCTCCCCCCAACTCCAAGCCTGGAAGAATCAGCCATAGGCACCTGCCTTGGGAGATTGTCTGGACACCACAGGGGGCTGATGTGGGTAGTAACATCCCTCACAGTGGAGACACCTCTCCTCAAGGACCAAAAAGATGATGAATGGTCCTGACAACTCCTTGTTGCTTGCTACTGTCTGGTGCCATGGAAAACCAGGAGTCAGAGCTGTGTTTAATTGTGGACCTGGCCAAGCCCACATCCTGCTCTGAATTCATCTTGGGACAGGGTTGCAAATTCTCCCATTGGAAGTGCTTGGAAAGACACTCAGGCGTTTGCCTTTGCAGGGATTGCCGAGCACCAGACGGGCTCCTGGGCTGCTATGTCTGTAAGTTGGCTTCTCTCCATACTGGGCTTCACTTCTAACTTTTCCTCATGAAGTCTTCTTCCAGGGCTTGAAAGGCCATGTGGTCAATGTACTCAGCTTCCCAGGATCTCTGGCAGGTATGATCACATGACCTGATCTGGCCCATGAAATGAGAGTGGAAGCAATATACACCATTTCTGGGCAGAACTTGAAGAGGGCATGATGGTGGACCAACGTAATTTACTTCCTAGGACACCTCATCTTGGTTGCCCAGACCTGAGATGGTTTCATGCATAAATTGAGATCGTAGGGCAGACACCTTCCCCGTTGGAAGCCAAGGTGATCTGGGGGATCACATCTGGCTGACACCCACCACCAAGAGGTTAGATTGTTCAAAGGGACACTCTGAGCATTTTTTGTTTGTTTGTTTTTTGCCTTCAGTAGCTACAGGGAGAGCTGGTAACTGACACAGTGCAAACACCGTGCCTTAGGCTGGCCATGCCGTCAATGCTCCATAGACACCAGACACCTGGCGTTTCTCTTGCAGACCAGCCTGCTTTCACTTGGGTCATCTCATCCTCTTTACTCTGAGCATGAGGGTCCAGCCTGAGGTGCTCAGGTCTATTTGGCCTTTGTGAAACTTTCAAGGAAGATCCCCACTAAGTCAGAGGCTTGGGACCGCCCTCACCCATTCCTGTCTGCTTCCTGTCACTCACCTACATATAGATGGATGCTATTCCTAGCAGGTCACGTTGTTCCTTGCTCCACACTGACCACAGTGTCATTGACTTAGTTTTCTCAGCGTGAGAGTCACACCAGAGAACCACCGGCACCTCTTCCCTTGTCAGAGACCACGCCAGCTCCTTCCATTCTCTGGGCTTCCCCCTCTCCTACAATTACATGTGCTGTGGGGTCTATAGCAGCCCACAGTGCTGGCATAAGTGATGAATGGTCACTGTCGACTCACAATTCTTTCCTCTCCAGATGAATGGCGTCTTCTTGGCTTCTTCATGCGGGGCAGAGAGCAGGTGCTCAATAAACCCTGACATTACTTTTAAGTTGGTGGCCCAGTGGGGTCAAGGAAGGACAGACAGGCCTCTAGCTGTGGTGAGCTCTTCTGCGGACTAGCTCTCAGGGATCCTACCAGGGAAGCCATGTGTCTGGAGGAGCATCCCTGACCCTCTCTGCTGGGGCTGGGCTGCTGTCTCTCTCCTGCTCTCTGTAGACTCTGAGATGACCCCTTATTTCTTTGTGGTTGGGCAGGCTCCTTCCCAGCTGCCTCCCTCCCAAGGATGCAAACAAGGGAGCTGCGAAAGCCACCTCTTTATTTGCTTTTATTGCCCTTTAACCAGTTTGCATGAGCTGAGGGTCAGAGGGGTTGGAGGGGAAGGCAGAATGTCTGGGACGCAGACTCTCCTGGAAATCGTAGATGCACACTGCTCAGGCGGGTTAGACTGGAGAAGCAATTTAACAATAGACCCTACAGAGTGAGAAATGTACAAAGTCGTCAGGTGGCCGCTGAATGGCGTCTCGCCTCCCCATGGGGGTCAGAGTTACACACATCAGTCTTGCACAAAGGTCCTGGAGTTGACCCGGGAGCCTCGAAATCTTCCCTGGGGACAGGAACAGTCCTGCTCACCCAGCAGACATGCCAATGCAGAGACGCACGAGTGTGTGCCTGGGTACTGTGGCTCCTCTCGGGCTCGGCTCCTCAGGTGTGTCTTTCTCTATGTCCTTCCCTTAAAGGTGTTCATGCAGGTGTACGTCCCTGAGAACCTGTGGATCTCCTCTAGTGCAGCCTGTGGAAGTACACTGCGGGGAGAAAGACACATGGTTAGCAGGGTGGCCAACAGTGGTGGGTTTCAGTGATGGCAATGCCAAGCAGGGTATAGACAATGGTTTCCCAAGCTCTCTTGGATCCTCTGCAACCCACACCCAAGTTCCCCTTCTGAAAAACAACACCTGACCTCCGAGAATTAACACTTTCACTAGGTAAAGAGCCAAGCACAGAACAACAGCCAGGCTGTGAGCTCCAGCATGCTTTCGATGTGTTCCGGCCCTTCCAAGATGCAAGCTGAAACTTGACTGTCTTTGTGGTGAGACAGAGGTGGCTGGGTCATGAGGGGATCCGCCCAGTCATGGATTAATGGGCAGAGTGACTCTATTATTGAAGCCAGCTCTCTGGGCATACTTGCTCTGTCCTGTATTGGGAACTAACTCTCTGTCATGTCACGATGCAGCAGGAAGGCCCTTGCCAGATGCTATGGCATATTCTTGGGTGTCCCAGCCTCTAGAACCCCAAGATACATGCACTTCCATGTGTGTGTGTTTTGTCTTGTTTTATTTTTAATGATGTGGATGTATGTGTGCCTGCTTGTGCACTTGAGCGCAGTTGCTCACTGAGACCAGAAGAGGGCATTAGAACCCTTGAAAGCTGGAGTTAACAGGAGGTTGTGAGCAGCCAGATGTGGGTGCTGGGAACAGAACTCTGGTCTTCTGCAAGAATAGCCAGTGTTTTTTAACCTCTTGACATCTCTCCAGGCCTCTTTTAAAAAAAACCAATCTCTCTCTCTCTCTCTCTCTCTCTCTCTCTCTCTCTCTCTCTCTGTGTGTGTGTGTGTGTGTGTGTGTGAGAGAGAGAGAGGGGGGGGTTGTATACATTCACCTGCTGCAGTGCACACAGGAAGGTCAGATATGGGTGCCGGGGATCAAGTTCACATTCTCAGGCTTATACAGCAAAGGCTTTACCATCTGAGCCATTCCCCAGAGTTCAGTTTCCAGCTTGGTGCCTGCTCCTCTAGAGGAACCCTCTGGCAGTCACAGAGCATTTTGGACTGAAGGTCAGGGTATGCTGGGACAGTCAGCTCTGCACTCTCCACCCTCTGCTTACCAGAAGGCCATCGGAGTGGAAGACAAAGGGCTGGTTGCCACTCCTCCCTTAGTCACACATCCAAGGGTGTGGTTTCCCTGGGAGTCAACATTTGATGATAACAACAGCCTAGAACTAGGGGCTGCACTTTGTGACAAGCAGGAGCCACAGTCATGGCTGCAGGGACACAGGTCTCCCTGTATGGAGGGCACATAGCCACATGCACTGACAGCCCCTTCAGCATGGGGCCCAGGTGCAAGGTCTTGCTGTACCAAGTCTGGACAGTTCTAGTTGAATTCAGTGCTGGGAAAACTCTAGAGGAGAAAGTAGCTCCATTAGGAAGCCCACCTTCCAAGGTGGGCTTCCCTGGTAAACCCTACCCCACTGGAGCTATGGCATAGCTCCAGATTCTGTTGCCATTAGACTGGGCTACCCGGGAGCTGGGTCTATGCCCGAGAGTCTGCACAGCAGCGGCTCTTAAGAATGTGGTTCAGGGACTCTCGGGGGTGCCTGGATATCTCTAGGATACTTATAGTAACACTGCAGTATAATTTGTCTTTCTCCTTCCCTCCTTTTTTTTTTTCCCTTACTCTCTTTCTTGGCAGTCTTAAAAAAAAAAAGAAAAAATCCAGGCTAGCCTCAAAGTGACTATATAGGACAACCTTATACTTCTCATCCTCCTGCTTCTACCTCCCACATGCTGGGATTATATAGGTGGGAGCCACCACCCCTGGTCCATGCAGTACTGAGGACCAATCCCAGGGCTTCACGCATGCCAGGCAGGCTCTCTGCCTATGGAGCCTCATCCTTAGCCCATTGTTCATCTTTTACCCTTTTATTTTCTCTACACATGCGGTAGAGTTTCCCAGGGGTTTTGCTACAGGGGACTACCCCAACTGACTGAAATAAGAAGCAGATGTGAGAATCTAGTTGTTTCAGATTAAACCAGACAATGGAGAGATCTTCAAGAACATAACCCAGCATCTCTCCCGACTATTTGTCTGTGTTGTTTTAGAAAGTGTAATTGCTTATCACAAAAACACATTTACGAGATGAGGCTAGATTGGGATACCTAGTGAGATCCTGTCTAAAACAACAACAACAAAACAAAACAAAAAACCAAAAACTAAAAAGGCAAGGAAACAAACAAAACAGTTATGATTACTTAATAGTTCTGTTGCTGTCCTTTTTAGATGAAAAATGTTGTAAATAGAAACCAATTCATAAATGGAACTTCCCCTCTCAGTTTTAACTCAGTAACTAGTGATAGATAAAACTCTAAACAACAACAACAAAACAAAACAAAAAACCAAAAACTAAAAAGGCAAGGAAACAAACAAAACAGTTATGATTACTTAATAGTTCTGTTGCTGCCCTTTTTAGATGAAAAATGTTGTAAATAGAAACCAGTTCATAAATGGAACTTCCCCTCTCAGTTTTAACTCAGTAACTAGTGATAGATAAAACTCTCACAAGCAAGAGCTGTTTGCATCCCTCAATAATTTCTAAACCAGGCACCATAGTGCATACTTATAATCCCAGTACTAAAGAGACAGGAGAATTGCAAGTTCAAGGCCAACCTAGGCTTTATAGTGTGCTCCTGATAAGCCTGAGTTACAGTGGGCTCTGCCTCAAAAATAAGGGGAAAAAAAACCCAAACCTCACAGAGAGCCTTAGACCAATAAGTATGCCTTAGTGGGCAGTACAGCCAGAGAGAGGTGTTACTTTTCAACCTCCTGCCCTGTGCAGACATGACTAATCGATTATACATCCACTTTGTCCTGCCTGCTGCCTTTGTCCAGTAAGGCCCATTGGAGTGATGGGAAAAAGTTGGACTTGAACTTGGTGAAGAACTCTCTCTAACCATCCCATACCTTTTCAAGATGACGAGGATATTCATGGTCCATGGGAGTAGGAGGAGAGCCTGGTTTTGCTGTACAGCTTCCACTGTCCTCCGGGCTACTGTCTCTGGCTTCAGCGGCGGGAAGAGGTTGGGAAACCTGGAGGCAGGAAAACACTGGTTTCTCCTGGAGAAGTTGACCTTTCTGCTGGGCATCTTGGTAAGTGGCTAGTGTTTCTGAGGGCATCACTTTGACTCTTCTGTGTGAGGACTGGAGGCTGTGGGGTTCTCTCCCAGTCCATGCCTGTTAGAGTCCCTCGATACTGCTCCATCCTGCCCCACCACTCCCCGAAGTCCCCTAAGGCTCCTGCCTGACACTCACATTGGACTCCCTCCACATTCTAAAGCACGGGCAGCCCTCAGCTGCCATCTTTCTTCATCAGCCATTCCCACAGCCTGCTCATTTCTCCCGAGAGATCACTCTGCCTCCCATACCGCTGGGTGGCCTCTGATCTTACCCCTTCCTTCCTTAACCACAACCACAACCTCATCTAGAATGATCTTGCTTGTCAGGTTGTTCCTTGACAAGGGCCCGTCTCCTCCATCAGGTTGAGTTCCCTGGGGACAGAGGCCCAGTGACTCTCATTCCCTCCTGAGTCCTCAGCATCTAGTAGGACTTGGTACACAGTAGGTACCTAATAAATACCATTATCATTTTGCCCCGCTTTTCTGCTGGGCCTTTCTGATTGGGAAGTCCTCAGCCTGCTGGCTCTCTAGCCTGCCAGTCAAACACAAAGTGGCTTTCCATGGGACTGCCAGATGAACAAGCAGTCAAACAGGGGTTTCCCATGACTGTTCAGAGGCATCTGACCCCAGACCTGTGCACCCATTGTGTTCCCTAAGTATCAGGCCCATGCACAAACATCCTCTCTAATTTACGGAGCAGGGGGCAAATCAGCGAGCCCTTAGCACTACTCCAGTGACTCTGTCTTTGCTCTTCCTGCCTTTCCCAGCCTGGCCTGACCGCTGTCTCTCAAACGCCTTATGAGTCACTGTGGTACCAATAAGAGTAAGAGTGATGAGTCATCGGTCGTCATGCCATTCCTGAGCCAGGGGCAGCCTTGGAGCTCACAGACTGCTGCCCTCCCCAGTAACTTGACAAGTGTAGCTTTGGTTTGTTTGTGTGTGTGTGTGCGTGCAAATGTGTGTTTGGTCACGAGTGTCTATGTATGTGGAGGACGGAGGTCAACCTTCAGTATCATCAGGAGTCATCCACTTCAGCTTTTTCCAACAGGGTCTCCCATTGGCTGAGAGCTCGATGACGACTTGGCTAGCTTGACTGGCCAGCAAATCCCTAGGGATTTGTCTGCCTCTGCCTCTATAGTGCTGGGATGACAAGTGCATGCTACCTTTGCCTGGATTTTTATAAACATGGGTTCTGGAGATCAAACTTTGCTGACTAGGCTTTCTTTCCACACCAAGATAGAACCTATAGCCTAGAAAGGCTGGCCTTGGGTTTTTTTCAAAGAGACACATGCTGAGGTATCTCACTGACTGCAACTCCAGTGATGTGGTGGTATATCTATAATCTCCAGCCTTCACCTGTGTCCATCACTGTCTCTAGGGGGAGGAGACAGGTCAGGAAGACCCAAGTGTAGGGGACCCTTCCAGGTAAGACCCTTCCAGAAGGACCTGATGGAGATGCCTCAAACCTGTTAAGATTTCCCCCTTTCTCTCCACAGTGGGTAGGAGGACAACAAAGGACACTGGGAAGTGATAAGAGAAGCCTGCTCAGGTGGCCCAATTCCAGCCGTGTTGTCTCATACAGATGACTTCAGTTCCTCTATCTGTGAAATGGGTTTATAGCTCATTTGCACGGCTACTGGAAGGGCCAAATGCAACAACTGTGTAGTGGAAAGGGAAGTGTCTAGAGTGGCTGGAAATAGAATATTCAGGAAATGAGAACGGTGGCACCCTCGGATACCGCCGATCTCGCTGGATGTTCACCTGTTTGGTCCTAACGCGGTCACTACCCCTGGGAAATTGCTAGGATGGCTATAGAGCAAAACCAAGGCTTTTCTGTCTTCCTTTTTCTTTCAATAAATAGGAGTTGGTTAAGTATAGCTGTTCTGGCTGAGCCCTTGGCTCTCACCTGCACAGCTAGCATCCACTTAGTGCTCATAAAGCAGTCATAGCCAGTCAATTCCCACACAGGCTCTCCCCCAACTTGTGAAGTAGGAGGTGCTATTAGCAATCGCTTTAATATATATATAAACAGGGAAACTAAGGCACAGAAGAGTCGAGTCACCTGCTGGAGGTTACACAGAACTAGGGTTCGATCCCAGGACATCAGGATAGTTATGAGTATAACCTCTTTGAAGTTGAGAATGTATGATAATTTTTTAGCAAGTCAGATAGAAATACCTACTTCTGGATAAACTCTAAAGAGACTGTCTTCTAGGAAAACTATTAAAACTCGTCTAAGACTATGTTTATTCTTGGTAAAAATAACAGCCGGGAGTAGTGGTACATTGTTAAAATGCCAAGCACTCAAGGGGCTGAGGCAAGAAGAGATCACCATGAATTGAAGGACATGAGCCTTCAATAAAACAACAGTGGAAGCGTCTCTTTTATGAGCAATATGTGTGCCCTAGGGTCCATGCCAGGTATGCTATATTCATTATTATTTCTCATTTTACTAGCAATCTATCAGGTAAATACTAGTCTTAGCATTTTATGGATGAGCAAGGCACAGCTCTGAGAAGTAAACAAATCTTCCCTTAAATGGGGAATGTGATGTGTAGTGATACGACGTCCCATATCGATACCATTTATTGCTTGCAATGTCAGTCATCACGCTGTTTTATAAACTGCAATGAAGTCTAGCAACATGCAGCCCATGGAAACTATAGCATGATGTCACCCCAGGTTCAAGTATGAACACTGAGCCTGAGGTCACATTCCCCTACATAAGACGGCTCTGCAAGTAGCTTGAGTAGTGGGCTTTGGGGTTTCTCCACATGGGGCTATAATTTGTATTTATTAATTAAAAAAATTATTGGTGTATGTGTGCCCATATGTGTGATGTGTGCACACTGTGTGTGTGTATGGGAGCATGTGTGTCACCGAATGCATTTGGCAGTCAGAGGGCAGGGCTCCAGGGATCAAACTCAGATTGTCAGGCTTGGTAGCAAAGGCCTTTACCCCTGGGCCACTTCATCGGTCGTGGCTCTATAAAAGGCTCACACCTTCAGAAAGCTTTCATTTGTTTAGCCACCACCACTATGAAGTTTCCTTGGGCTCCCTCCTAGGCTCTATACCACCGATCCTGTTTCCAGCACGATACTTTTGCCTGGTTCTGAATGTCAGGTCCACGGGGCCATGCGGAATGTGCTAGTGTGGCTTCTTTCGCTCGGCACCGTGGACGTGAGCCTCATTATGGGGGTGATACATGACTCATTTCCTTTTTTGTTGATAAGGTAGCATTCCACTGTGCACATCCAGCACTGGTGTTTTGAGTGAGCTCCTGCAGCGAGGAGCAGGGTCCCAAGTGTGGGCAGTTGGTCTTGGACCAAGCAAAATGCAGAGTGAGCTGGGCACCAGCTTCGCCTCTCTCTGCTTTCTGACAGTGGATATGAGGAGGCCAGCTGCCTCAGGCTCCCGCCACTGTGGCTTCCTACCAGGACAGACTCTACCCTCTTACTGTGACCCTCAAGAAGCCTTGCCTTCTTAGAAGCTGGAGAAGTAACTGATACAGTGCAGACTTTATCCTGTTGCCTTGTGAGTGGAAAATGAGGCCTGGGACTGTGACCAAGGCCAAGGGATTCCGGGGCTCTTCCCGTGAACACCGCTGGCTGGGTTGGCTCAGGAGAGTTGGCTGGTCTCACCCACTGACCTGACTCGCATGCCCTGGAACATCTCGGTGCTGGTGTGAAAGGGCAGCACAGTGGTGGCGCCGACACCTGGACAGTCCAGCAGCCCCAAGGTCAGGCTCTCCATGAAGGCGAAGGCCGATGCTTTCGATGTGCAGTAGTCGATGGCGCCAGGGATGGCTGACAGCGCAAGCACGGAATTGAGGCACACGATATGGCCGTTCTGCAGCTCCAGCATGCGCGGCAAGAAGGCCTTGGTGGTCTGAGGGTGGGTAACAGAGGTCAGTGTAAAGCAGCACCGCTTCTGCCAGGCCCTGCACCCCTGCACTGAGGAGGACAGCCTGCTCTAGATGCATAGCTACCCTAGTGACTTAGCCTTCCACACGGAGGAATTGAGGCCTCCGTGCTGCAGAGGATTGTACTAGCCAGTCAGAAGTTCCTATGATGCCCTGCCAGTCAGTCATTCCTTTTATCTAGCCACTTTGCCACGGAACATCCCTGCTAGCGTGAGACCTGGTCCCAGTGCACCTCTCTTTCCCCTCAATCCCACCCAGGCTTCCTGTCATACCTATGGCTGGCTCTGGGCCAGGAAAGCCCTTACCCAGAATTGGCCCAGGGTGTTGACATGCTGGGACTTGAGGAGGGCATCATCATCACTGTCCATCAAGCTCTTTCCATGGACCACGGCAGCATTGTTCACCAGGATGGTGATGTCACCCACCTGCGGGCAAGAGGGGGCTGTGGAGCCGTGAGGGCAGCCAGTCCCTGTGGGCTGTACCTGTAGGGGCACAGACCAGGCTCCGCAACCACCAGCCACATGGCCTTTCTGAGCATCAGTCTTGTTTATAAATGGCACTTGTGCCATACCAGCTGTGTCTGAGGATTAGAAATAATTTATGGTACATACTATACCCAGAATGTAGCATATTTATAATAAATGAGGTTATGGGCACATAAAAAATGGTTAATGTTACCATGCGTGGGATATGTAACAGGGTGACTTCTTTTCTCCCTTGGTGCTCATTGGTCTACCCAGCCCAAATGTCTTGGATTAGGGAAAGGACTTTTCCCAGAAGGCAATGGGACATTTGACTTAGAGAGAAACTCGTAGGGTCTAAATGTCCAAGGAACCATAGAGGTCTACTCTTATTGTGTTATCAACCCCAGTCTCCATCCAAATAACTTGGACAAGCTTTGGGGAGAGTTCCCAAAGGTGCCCTGTACAAAGCCAGCCTGCCATAGCAATATTCCCTCCCAGGCCGCATGAATTCAGTATGCTGAGGCCAGACATTCCTGGGCTACTGACCTTTTCACGGACAGCTTTGGCCATCTGGTATACCTCTTCCCGGTTGCCCACATCACAGATGAAGTAGTGGCACTCTGTGCCCATCTGCCGAATCTCCTCTGTTGTCTCTTTCAGGCATTTCTCAGTCCGGCCCCAGAGAACAATCTGGAAGGAAAGAAAAAGAGCATGGAATAGGTGACTTTGAAATAGGCTGTATTGATATAATGACTGCTACAGGGAATTTTAGTAGCCTTTCAAATGCTGGCTTCCTTGATTCCATCCCAAAATAAAGTACCCAAGACAAATTAACTGTGAGCTATAAATAAAATATTATTATTTTGTGTGTGGGTGCATGCCTGTGTATGGGTGGAGATTAGAGGGCGATTTTAAGGGTCAGTTTGCTCTTTCTGCTGTGGGTTTGGCGATCAAACTTAGGTTGTTAGGACTTGTGTTTACCTGCTAAGCCATCTTGCTATTTTAGTTAGGGTTTCTAAAGCTGTAATGAAACACCGTGACCAAAGCAATTTAAAGGATTTATTCAGCTTACACTTGCAGTTAACTAACAGTCTATTACTGAAGGAAGTCAGGACAGGAACTTACTCAGGGCAGGAACCTGGAGGCAGGAGCTGATGCACAGGCCACAGAGGGATGCTGCTTACCCGCTTGTTCTCATGCTTGCTCAGCCTGCTTTCTTACAGAACTCCGAACCACCAAGCACCAGGGGTGGCATAACCCATAATGGGGTTGGCACTCCCCTACCAAGCACTAATTAAGAAAATGCCCTACAGGCTTGCCTACAGACCAAGTTTATAAAGTCATTTTCTCAATTGGGGTTTTCCCTTCTTAGATGACCTAGCATGTGTCAAGTAGACATAAAATTAGCATGACCAGTGGCCAACAATGAAGGGAATTTTTTTGTTTGTTTGTTTTGTTTTTTAACTTGTGCTTTTACTTTGTTTGTGTGTGCCCGTGTAGGGCCCTGCATGGACCTGAGGCACCTTGAGCAAGCCTGAAGCTGTTGGCTGGAACATCTTTCACCAGAGTAGTTCTTGGTACTCTTCCTGATTGGCTAACACGCATCTACTGGGGAGGAACTAAACCCGAGAACTTGCACGCTTGACCCTTGATTGTTTGCCACTGTGCTATAAGTCAGTATAAGCCCGCTCTATCCCCTCAATAAACGGCATTCAGCATTCAGGCTGCACGAATGACCCACTGTCTTGTCTTTTATTTCAATTTCTAGGCCTTCACCTGATTAGTGGAACAGATCATAGCGCAGGCACTACATGCCTCTGTGTGGGTATGTGTACATGGGTGCAAGATTCAACAGAGGCCAGGAGAGGGCACCAGATCCCCTGGATCTAGAGTCATAGATTGCCCGATATGGGTGCTGGGAACAGAACTCGGGTCTTCTGGAAGAGCAGCAAGTGCTCTTAACCATTGAGCCATCTCTGGACTCCAACAAGATTATAAAAGGGACATTACCTACTCTTAAGTGAGCCAGTGGTTTCGGAGCATACTTATGGCCAGTCAGCTGGTATGTTAGTTCATGTTTTCTGATATATTCTTCCTAGCAGGACACCTCCTGCCAGCCTAGTGATAACCTTTTCCTTGATTCTTAGAAGCAACGGAAAAGCTTTCCGGACACTATTCTAGAATGTTTTCTGTTAGGAACCAGCTGGCCTTCTCACCAATTATGTTTAGAGCTGGGATTATTCCCACCAGCCACTAGGAAAGGTGGGGTCACACTCTTCTTCTCCAAGGCCTTGAGGGCTACTGTGGTCACACTGGGAAGGAAGGATGCAAGGAGGGACGGGGGAGAGACAGTGAGACTCCTGCTGAGAAGCAAGGGCTTCCTTACCCAACAGGTAATACATAGGATGACCCAGTGGTCTTGACAGGACCTAAGTGGGTGCTTAGAGAGGTTGGGCATGTGCATGGCTGGTCCACAGGATGCTGGCAATTGAAGCCTGGCTGGTCCTTAGCCTTGACCTGAAGGAAGACAATACATCTCCCCAAACCCAAGAGCCCAAGTTTGGGTGCCTGCGGAGCTAGCTGCCCTGACATACAGCTTTATAGTATAGAGGCAGAACAAGGGGACCACAGCATCCAGGAAAATCAGCACAAGAGAGGCTGGGCTCCAGCAATGGTCTGCGTTCCTTTCTTTTTAAAATATTTATTTATTTATTTTACTTTGTGTCTGAAGTATGTATGTGCACCACACGCAAGCCAGTGCCTGTGTAGTCTGGAACTGGTTACAGGTGATTGTAAAGCTTCACACAGGTGCTGGGAAACTGAACCCGGCTCCTCGGCAGCCAATTCTCTTAACTGCTGAGCCATCTCTCCAGCCACAGATCTACATTTCTTTTCTCTTTAAGGCACAAATAGGTGTACAGAGTTCCATCAAAAGGAGCCTGGGTGATCCATGCTCTCTTGCTGGTTCTCGGCTCTCCTGAGATGGTCAGGGTCTAAGGCCTGCCATGTTCTGCTCAGAACATTTGCAATCGGGAACTGGGGAGAGCGTCCCTGTCCACTGGGCTGGGAGACGGCCCCGGAGAGGCAGATAGCGGTGGTCTGGCAGGTGGAATGAAGGCCTGTGCGCACTGTCTCCTGCGCAATCAGAACCCTGGTCCTCCTGAGGCCACTCCTTGTGTACTGGCAGAGGGGCTCTAGCTCTGTCCCTGGTGCCATGGCTAAGTGTTTCTGTGAACCTGGAGCCCCTGGGACCTAATTCTGTTCTATTTATTTTAAGATCTTATTTCCTGCCAAAGCACATGTTGTCTGTTGGATGAATGAATACATGTTAAGGGCTAAAATTGGGACAGTGTGGGTGGGTGTTAAACTACCTCTCGAGACCGAAAGATTACCCATCTTCTCTGTGGCCAAACTAACCGCAGCTCTAGAACATTCCATAAATGAATCTGTGTGGATCAGAAGTCAGTGGGTTTCCCAGAGTACACCACCGGGGAAGGCTGAGCTGAGGGGAGGTTTGCTGGGACTGGAGTGTGCAGACAAGGAGCTAGCCATGGTGCTGGGCAAAGGTGAGCTGCTGGGGGCAGGTGCATCTTTCTGTCAGGTGTTTGTGTGTCTGTGTCTGTGAGTCATAGTACCTCCAAGAGCACCTGCATGTCTATAAGTGCAAGCATGCATTTGTGTGTCTGTGAATGTATGTGTATCTATGAGGTCATACCTGTGGATGTCTGTGTGTCAGTGAACATGCTCTGGGTTTATGTATCTGTGGGCCTGTGTGTCTATAAGCCGGCATCTGTGAATAGGTCTGAGTCTTGCATCTGAACAAGGGCATGCTTCTGTGAATGTGTCCCCAGGTCCTCTGGTGGATGCACATAGGTCTTTGGTTAGGACACCCTATGTCCATCTGTCCTTACGAACCAGCCTGCATCTCTGTGGTGATGGAGCTCCAATATGGTATGGGAGAAAGTTTGAAGGCACACGACTATCTGGGTGGAGCAGGCTCCTCTTGGAGTCCTGTCTGGCTCTCGGGGAATCTGTGCCCCAAGTGGCTCTGCCACTGCCCTCTGGGTAACCGCAAGTGTTGACAGGCCCTGGCCAAGACCAGATGGGAGACGAAGGTTGCAGGGAGAGGTGAGGTTTGAGGAAAGTGGTTCAGCCTCCTCTTAATTCCCTGGCTGACCAGCTGGCAGGGCCAGGCTAACCTAAGCTTATGAAGTCACGATTGGGTTCTCTACACCTCTTGGCCTCCAGTCTTCTGTGAGGTGAGACAGTGGTTCTGTCCCCTTCCCCTTCCGGGTGAGCAGGAGGAGAGAGGAAGGGCCTTGGCCCTGGGTATGGACTGACAGTGAGCACCTGCCTTGTTTTCCCTTACTGGCTAGTCTCAGCAGCGGAAGCCCTTCTCATCTCTTGGTTAGAGACTTACATATGCCACTTTCTGTACTTGGAAAGTGAGGCTCAATGAATTCTGCTAGATGTCCAAAGCTACACCTGGTGGGAGATGGAGGAGGGATCTGAACCCAGAATCTACTCTCCGCAGGTACAGCCTCGAGGTGTGGTGGCATAGGTTAAGTTTTGAAGACCCAACTCCTAATCTACCCATTGCCAGAGTCCATTCCTGCTCAAAAATTCTCCTAGCTTGATGTCTGGACCACAACCTCATCCACCCACCTGCCAGGGCTGAGCCCAGTGCTGGGACCTAAGAGAAGGAAAGACACAGTTCCAACCTCAGTAGCCCATCCCCGTAAGGAAGGTTGAGGGATTGAGGAAGCACAGGTCACAACTGAGGGTAAGAGAGTAAACAATAAACAAAGGTACCTAGAGGAATCCAGGAGCTAGCCATACTGTGACTATCCATAGAGAAGGAAACTGTAGCCTGGAGAGCCTGAGCACCTTGTCTGAGGCCACACACTGAGTGACAGAGCTCACAATTGAGCATCAGTATTATCAGGCAGCCAGTGACAACTGCTATTCTCTCTCCTAAGTTCAGTAATACTCAAATGAAAAACGCTGTGTATGTCCCCTCCCAAGGCCCTGAGAGGGTTCGGTACAGAGTTGGTGCCCACTGAGTGTCCTGTAGGCTCGCTCTGCTGGAATTTCACTGGGGAGGGCAGACAAATCACACATCACCCTTGACACACTCTGAAGTCAAGGAGCAAGCGGCTTCGGGGGACCCCAGATGTGTGATGGTACACACCTGTAATCCCAGTATCATGGCTGAGGTAGGAGGATAGCCAGTTCAAGGCCAACCTGGGCTACACAGCAGGACCCTTTCTTCAAGCAAGACAGGCAACAATAAGAACAGAAGCAAAACAGAATGTGTAACCCAAACTCCCCCACGGCAACTCAGCATTGGTAACCCCTGTCTAGCCTCAGCCCCACCAATGCCCGTCCAGGGCTTCAACTCACGGCAAAACTGCTCTTTTTCGTCTCTCTCCATTATTTTTCTTTAAAACAGTAAGGCTCTTTGCAAACTCCTATTCACCCTGCAGAGCACTGCCTGAATGTCCCCCTTAGTTCCAAAGCCTCTCTGGCTGTCCCTTTCACCCTTCCTACAGCACTGGCCAATGGCTAGTATTAACAGAGCCCTTGCCACAGGCCAAGCCCTGTGCCAAGTACGTGAATATGTCTTCTTCTGCCCTCATGCCTTGTGGGTGGGTATGTTATGCCCCACAATACGTTGAGTCTTGGACAGA